CTCCAAAGCCCTGAGCATGCTTCAGCCATTGCTCACTTACGGCACCTCTCCTGAAATCATTCTTCTCAGTCACTCCTCTCCCACAGGACGACACCACAAGACTGGGAAGAAGGAAACAGGCTCAGGCACCAAGTGGCCAAACAGATAGGAGTTCCCATCCTGAAGCTTCAGCACTTACCTCTGAATGACTGGGGCAGGTGAGCATCTACAATACTTGAGCTCATTATGATGAGCAGAGAAGAAAAAGCATAGGAGGAAAGAAGGCAAGGACAGAATTAGGATATTTTTTCCAAGGTTTTGGTTTTCTGGTTTGTTGGTTTTGTTTTTTTTTTTTTTCAGTCCATCAAAGGCTGTCTTTTTAATAAGCATTTCACAGCCCATATAGACTTCCTTGAAAATAAACTCTCATAATTAAATATATTTAAATTGCTTCTCATTGTATTTCTGACTTATGTATTTCTATACATAAGTATAAATATATTCATATATACATGCTTTTCTGCAACAAGCCAGTTAGCCTCCCTAGTCCGTTTGTCAGAAAGGACAGTTCCAAGTGTGGATTTTGTACTAAAAGCACCACTTTCCCTAACCAAGGAAATTTGCATTTTTATTCATCAATTCTTAGTTCTACTCTTTCCCTTTTTAGGCTCAACTTTTCCTTCCACTACCACTATAAAACCTTTCTAATTGTTCATTCATTACTTCCCTTAATTTCCAGCCATTGTTGATAACCTCTAGAATTTTACTATTTTAGTGCTTTCCAATTTCTGCTATCATGCAACCAATTTGGTCACCAAGCAGGTGAAAACACACAAAGCAAGCAACCTTAGTGACATTCACAAGAGAGGTATGTATGTAGCAAAGCAGTAACTATGACATTGGATGATAAACACACTGAATGAAAGAAAAGCAAGTTTTGTGAGTACTCATTAGGGATTAGCAGAGCACAAATGAATTACTTTGAAACGGTGCTTACAGAGAACAAACTATTTAGAGCAAGATAGCACTATTAATTAGCTTCTTGCTATGAAGCAGGTTTTGAACAAAATGAGCTTATAGAGTAAGACTGCAGATGTCAAGATTGCAAGTTAATGCTACCACACTGGTCATTAAGTAAACAGAACACTAGGAAACCAAAACCACATGGAAGTCAATCAGTGCCAAACACAAAATAGCTAATAATGGGAAGAGAACAGAGTACTGTCAAAATCAGAAGCCAGAAACACAAATTACAAGTGAAGAAATACACACTGGTGAAATAGTGTTAGTGAACAGATTAGGAGAAAGATGATATGAAAAGAGCTGTACGAGCTACAGCTGTGTTTCAGAAACTAGGTATCAGCAAGGCAAAATATTTTGGTATCAATGAAAACCTGCAACTGCTGATGTTAAAGTATATGGACCTCAATGCTGAAATACGAAAAAAATCTGATAAAAAAAATAGCAGAGATGAGCTAGCCGAGAGGAACATTAAGGAGATTCAGAAACGCAAAACAAATGAAAACATGACAGTATAAAAAAACTACTGTTTAATTGTTGCTGAATGATAGAAGTGAAAGACTGAGCTTGGAATTCAATGCTTTTGCCAGTCTCAGACTGCACACAGCTATTTGCACTTGTCTTTTGCTTTTGTTTTTGTTTTTCTGCATTAGCTTTTCTAGAAGATGGTAATTCCCCTTTCAACTTTCTTCAGTGACTCCAAAGGATTCTTTTCCTCCATCTTTCTCTTTATACCTCACCTATAGACAAACTGATTAACAACAAAATTTAAAAAGCACAACACAGTAACTCTTCTATAAACTTTAGGTTGACAACTCCAAATTCTTTTTTTTTTTTTTTCTCACACATTACATTTTTCTGACCAAACTAGGATCTCAGATCTGACACCTCCACATGAGCATTTAGCCATCAGCTTATGTTCAGCACCAACCAAACACAACTCACCATCATAAACCCTTTTCTCAATTCCTAGAAAATATAATTTTCTGCCATCATACCCTTAACTGCAGGTGTTACTTTTCATTCAGGCAGATATGAGGGAACTGGAGAAGTAACACAGTTTAAAAGCCTGAAAATGTTACCTGGATAGCATTTGCAAGATTCCTCCTCTTCACTCAGTGCACAGAACTGATGCTCCTGTCCAGTTCATCCTTATCACTACATTCTGACTATTGCTCTGTCTCCAGCCTTGGCATGTTCCATATCAATCTACCAATTTCCTTTTGAAATATAACACTAAAGATCCCTTTAGTAGGATGTTCCAAAAACATGCCCATTTTTCTGTTTATCAACTTATCTTCACACATACACACACACTCCCTAGACAAACTGCTTGTCTTCACCTTTAAGGCTTTTTTTTTGTTTGTTTGTCTTATTAAATCAAAATATTGACTTTCATTTCACATATCACACAGATTTTTCAAAATTCCTCTGTAATCTCACTCAAAATGCTTGTTATGCATAGAAAAGCATAGTTTTTATTCAAAATTCCTCTTGAAGTTTTTGTTGAGAACAATGATTTGACATAGTTCACTATGATGATTATTTTACAGTTGTGACCAAAACATGTTATTACTTCTTTGCTGTCTTGTTCATGTGATGCCTACATTTTTAGAATGGCCTCAAGAGAGGCTTCACCTACCTAAATACTACTGTAATACAACAAATAATATATAATGGAAAAATATTAAATTTGATACAGATAGGAATAGTTCTAAATCAGCAACCACAACAAAGTTGAATTACATATATTTACACACATGCATGCATACAGACAATGATCAAGTCATACCAAAATGAAGTCGTTAGGTACAGCAACATATTCTTTTAGACACTCCATTACTACATACAATGAAATTCACATAAAATGAGAGAAAGGCATTTGTAGGTGTGCTTTAATTACTACTCTAGCTGTATCTTCAGCAGCACTATTGCAGCATTTTCCAGTACATGACACCTTGTAACAAAGCATCCCTCAAGCATAGATGGAACACTAGTTAGTGTCTATGTGCAGAGCAAGTGTCTCCAGGACAGTAACAGGAAAGCTAGAGGTAAGAGAAACAATGGATGGGAAGATGCCACAAAGCATGTACTTCACAAGAATACAGAATCAAAACTCATTCTTCTCTCTCAAAAAATACACACATTTAATGTTGGTCTTTTAATTCTAAGAAAAAAGCAATTCCAAAAATACAAACTGAACATCAGAGTCAAGTCAACCACCATAACAAAATGAAACAATATTCACAACAGTTAAGTCTATGGACAGCTTAAGCTTGACAAATATTTTCTCTCCCCCCATTCCCCCACCACCCCCCTTAAGTCCCCAAGTACATTCCAATGTTTATCTTTAAATGAAACTTTATGAAAAATACTGCTGGTGTTCAGTTAGAATTAAAGGACTTGGATAAAGTGAAACAATACAAGACAGATACAGATGGTGTGAGTAAGGTTACAAAGGCTTTACATTTTGCATTATCCCAAGATATCAACATTCAAAAATTAACATGGAGTTGCTGTGTTATCAAAATATTGCAGCTATAGGCAAGGCAACGTTAAATTAATAGCTGAGGGTGTGAGAAAAAACACATTTTAGTGAAGGTAAACAGAAGTGGCAGTTTTTAATTAGCATTTTTATAAAGCTAGTATTACCCGGCCTGCCATAAACGAAGCCCAGGATAAAAAGCTTTCTCTGCTTCCTTTGGCTATAAGGTGACAGAGGGGAAAAAAAAAGAAAACTAAAAAAAAGAAAAATCACCTTTTCAAGATGTTCAAGATGAGCAGAAAAAGTCAAATAATCAAGTAATGGAAGAAGTAAGTACTAACCCAGGCAGCACACTTTAAACCACTCTGCAATTTTAAGTGTTATATAATTTTATTTTGGTGGTAAACTGTAAGCATATAAGAAAACTAACCTTATGCAGCACAGTGAATAACCAAAGTAAAAATATTCTTCTGTTTACTCTTTGGCTAAAACCCCCTCAAAAGTAGCAGACAAAAAAAACATTTAATACTGTCAAGAAATTTTTTTGACTTTTTTTAAACAAGTAAAATAAACTTATCAATTTCAAACTTGGTACATTTTATAAAAACAAAAGAGGTAATGTTGTAATAAAATCAGTAATGTTACTTCAAATGGCAACAAACTATTTGTTGACCCTGTGCAATAATACACTTTGTTCATACTACATTTATCAAAATATGACTGTTTCTACAAATATGTAGTAATCTTGTGTATGACTCCTGTCAACTTAATTTATAACTGGGACACAAAATTTACAATCAGTGTGCCACAATAACTTTTAAGTTGCTATTTCTAGTAGAGTTAATTTCAAAATGTTCAGATCCTGCATTTTTTTTAACAGTTATTTCACATGGAAAGTAATGGAATATATTACCTAGAGCACATGAACATCTATGACTGCACCCATTGCCAGAACACGCTGCACTGGTTTGACACTTTTCCTTAGTACACAGAAAGCAACAGCACCCAATAAGCCTGAGAAGAAATGCTGCTGTGTAAATACTGGCAACTATTCCTGAAAAAAGAATTATGGGATGTATTCTCAGAAGCTGCCCAATCCCATAATTTGTATTGCATAGGTCACAATCACACATATATATACACGCACAAGTATGTGTGTGAATATATACATATGTATATACACACACACATGCGCACACGCACACACACAAAGAATATATTAAGAAGACAATGAAGTCTGGTCACAGAGCAATTTACAGGCTCAATATATTTTTTCTTTTTTTTTTTTTACACTTTGTTTGAAAGAAAACTTCAGTATTTTACAGTCTTCAGTAGGCATTATATACACTGCACTTATGAAATCTAGAAAGTATTGAAATAGAAATACATTTCTGCAAACATCTGGGTAAGAAAACAAACCAAAATTTTTCAAAGATTTGTGCTATCTACATAGTATTTTCTCTAAATCACAATAACTGTATCCATGGAATGTTCTCTATAAAATGTCTTTTTTTTAAAACACCATGCACGTTTTTAAGAAATTGTAACCCAAAATATCCCAACCTAAAACAATCTAACAATGTTTAGATTAAAAAATTTAAGTTTCAGATCAGATTTTAAAAAGATAAGTCTTTATCACAAGAGCTGTAATGATAACAATTACATGTTAAGGCTAAACTGGTTTTGTTTTGTTTTTAGAAACACATTTAAAGACGTTTCTCTCGTGGCTCTGCATTATGAACTGTACTTACAGATGACAGTGCAGTGAACATAATGTTCTGTCCTACAGTCAGGATGCAGTTGCTCCTTCCCACTCCACAAGATACTGCACCTTTCCATCAAGTGTCACCCGACGAGCCAAAACACGGTATTTTTCCCCACAAGCTATTCTACCTGCTGCACCAAAATAACTAGTAATTGAGTTCTTCAGATGATTGAGCTGTAACTCCTGATCTGCTAAGTTGTTAAGTATCTCTGTATTGAGTTCATCATATTGGTAATCTTCCTTGCTCTCATCATCTTTTACAATTTCCGAATTTTGAGTCTGGAGTGCTTTACGTGGAAAGCGACCTCTTCTTCTCAAATGTGGTATTGCAGCAGGCCAAGTTCTTCCTGTACGAGTCCTTTTTCTCGAGTCAGATAAACTATTAAAAAAGAAAAACCAGCATTAACTCCAAGAAACTTATTCAAAATGTATGCTTCATCATCAGTTATTTCTATGCAACTCAACTTTAATTCTATTTTTCAGTGATAGAAATACTTGTTGCCTAAAAGATAAATGACTATAAATATGGCACTTGCAAAATAAAGATTATTTACATTAAAAAAAACTGTAGTGGTTTAACAATGTCAGAAAGGTTAGCTAAATCATATTAACATATCTAGGCATAAGAGTAGTATTTTGATACAGCTTAATCCCATTCTTCAGCAAATTTAGAAGAAACAGTCTTCAGAGAAGTCACCACCAAAGTGTGCTTAAATTCACAAATTAAAAATACAACTTTATCACACAGGTAGGCATCAATTACAAAAGCTATTCTATAAAAGAGCTTGAGACTTGATGTTGGTTAAGACTAAGTAAAAAAAAGAGTTTACACAGTTTTTTTCAAGCTGGATTTATCTCAATAAAACTCTGAAATATGAAACAAGATATTGCAAAATGAATGTACTATAGAAATGTAGTGATGTAGAACAATTTTCTAAATATTTATTATATGTGTCCAGAAAAATATTTATATCCAAAACTCACATATTTATCTCTGGTAATGAAAAAAGCAACTTCTGACATTCTCCAAGAATAAATCATCATCCAAATATTAAAAGCATCCAAGATACACATCCTTATGAAAAATCTTACATCTGTAATTTGCACATACTAAAACATGTTTAATAAAGTCCTAAATTAAATGGTATGCAAACTTTGATGTTAAGACTCCTAAGTAATATACTGAGCAAAAAAGCATATCTTATCAACATTAAAAAAGAATGGAATAAAGGGCAGAAATATGAAACAGTAACTCAGATCCTTTAATATGAATTTCAGAAGTCCCTAGGTTAAACATGAGTTTTTAAAGACAGACTATAGCAGTAATACACACATAAATGACTTATGAAAGCACTTGATAGCATGAACAAGAAAGATAGGAGATGAAGTAGACTGAGGATCCATGTACCTCAATAAGACAGAAATTTCTGTTTGCTGAACTTGAGAAGGAAAAGTTCAAATAACTATTTGCAGAAAAATCAATTGTAGTTAATAATTTATGAAGACTGTGCCAAAAATTTTTTATGCTCTATTGACTGTAGAATATCACAAGCATATTTCTTATTCTTTAATATGAATACATAAACCTACCAAAAAAAATGTTGCTAAAATAATTCAGGGTACACATCAGCTCTTTTCTGGCCTTTATTAGATATCTAAGCTCAGGCCGTGTTTACATTTAATGAAGAGTTAAACTCCATAATTTAACTACATATTTTACATCAACAAAAACAACTCACCCTGCATCATGTAAAGTAGAACTGAAGACTAGTTTTCTTTTCTCTTATTCCTTTATATTTCCTCATGCAATGTATAGTTCTACTCTGTCTCAGTTGCTCATTACTTCAAATTCCAGTGAATTTCCACATCTTCAACGTTATACCCCCTTGCTATATCCTCAGTTCTTCTCTATTTATTCTCCCACCAGTTCTGCAATACCCTTACCTCCATTTCACGTCTCCTCCAGCTGCCTCATAACTTAAGTCAGCCTCCTACCTTATCTTCTACTTTTGTTTTGCCAAAGCACCAACTAAAAAAGAAACCTAAAACCACACACACATTTAAAATCCCCAACAAAACAGCACTGGCAATGACTAATCCACGGACAATTAGGAAATTGTCTGCCCTTCTCCTAAGTGTGGGTTGCAGATTTGGGTATCTCATCCAAGCATCTATCTTGATGAATCTTGTTACACTAATTTCTTTGAAACTACCTGGATAAGACTTCATGCAAGCTAGCCATAAGGTTCAGAACTGACTGAAAGTATAACAGAACCTCAGGTTTTTAAAAAAAACAGATTTAGAACATTTTATGTCATGCTTTGGCAAGCTATCTCCTGTAGGATTCCTGCAACTTTTGTTTATTAAGGGTGAAGTATTACTGAACCAATTGTTTCTTGTCCCCACCTTCAGAAAATGTAAAAATGAATATATTGCAAATCTTAATCTTTATAGCAGGTAGAATAACTGAATAATTACCTATAATGTCTGGAAATGCTAGATGAGGTAGTTTCTTTCATACTGGCAGCACCTGTGGATTCCACATCTGAGGTATTGGATGAGTGTGCAGTTCCATCAGATCTCCTGATATGCAAGATAACAGGGTTTCCATGTAATGAAAATAATCTCATGTTAAAAACTGAGCTGACATTTTGAAGCAAACAGATAAATGACATAGCATTAAAATGTTTTACAGGGGTAGGGTGGGTTTTTTTAATTTTGTTTTTTAATTTACCCAACAGTGCAGGGTAATTCCAAGGCTGGGTTCTCTGTCACTGGAACTGGTTCATTATCCTAAGGAGGGGGAGGGGGGAAAAAAGTTACTTCAAGTTAAGTTTTAATAGCTGTATAAACTTTGAGGACGAATAGGGAAATATCATGATTTAGATTAACTGGTTGGTTTTCTTCAAAAATTATATTCCAGGGAAAGGGGAATATCCAAAACCTTACCAGAGGAGACGACTCTGGAGTTTTGTGAATCACTTTCCTTGTATAGGGACCAGGTGGACGACCTACTGATTTTTTTTTCCCCTTTCTTTCTATACCATTACTTAATTCCCTAGAAGAGAATTTATATTTTATTCTGTATTACTGAAGATTATTTTCATTGAATACATATTTTCCTTTGGCCGTAAATACACAATTAGATGTCTACTGCTAAAACATTGCACTAAATGAGGTTATTTTGGTAAATCAAAATTGTCATATACAAAGCTGCATATTGCTGCCTTTAGAGTAACATCAACAGATACAAGATCTTTCTAGTGATATTACTGATTCCCTAACAATGAAGACAAATGAACAAGTTTGTTTATTCATATGATCAGACTTGGTAAAGAAGATGGCACATTTACTAACACAAGTGACAACTTCACATACTTCCTATTTAGAATTCTAGATAGATTATTGCATAAGAGCTCCAGAAAGGCAAGAGATGTTGTTTCCCAAATGGCAGCAAAGTTGGGATATTTTATATTGTTCTTACTGCTAAATTTCATGTTGAGGTTTTGGTTTTTTGAGATTTTTTTAGAAAGATCCTGATACAAAGCTAATTAAATCCATTCAAAGACGTTGTTCTCTCAAATAGTCCAGCTTCAGTTTTTAGAAAAACACATTCTACAGTGAAAAGGCCTTTCTCACAGGCACCAAAAATACACCCGAAGTAGTCCTGATCTACAACAATATTGCTCAAATAACCAGGTTAGTTTACCTCACGTCAGGGATTGGTTTAGATGATTTTCTGCCTTTAATTTTGAACTCATGAGAAGTTCCTTCTGGTTCTTTCTCAGCCTTTAAAGCAGCATTTGGTGGCACAGGAGGAACACGAATTCTCAACCCAAACAAATGTTTCTTTTTCTTTATTTCTTTTCCAGACATAAACCTAGGTGATTTTAAATCAGTTGTTAAAATTCTGACCCCATGGAAAGCAACTTTTAAGTAACAGTATACATGCAAAAAAAAAAAACGCAAACTAGAGTATTCATTCCCCTCTTTCCCGTAACACAATCCTCACTCTCAAATACAGAATGTGAAGTACAAAGAGGATGGAAGTTAAAACAAATTTTTTCTCATTATCTGGGTTCCACTTGAATAGTTATGTAATGTTATAGTTTGAAATAAATAAGTATTTAAAATTTAAATGCTATCTGTAGCCAAAGTGATTATCAGATCACTGAGCAAAGGAGACTGAAGACTGTAATCTATCAGATTAAATAGGCAAACAACATTTAAAACAAAAAGTACCAATAACTTACATGGTCTTGTAATCATTTAATGCCTCCAGTACATGCTCATATCTTTCAGATTTTGGTGTATCTGCCAGCTGTGAAGTATTAAGAAATCATTTAACCTGTCAAATTCTTATTAATAGAAGTATTCCAGTTACTTTGAGTCACTGTAACTACAAATTTGGATGTGAAGTACATTTATGAAGTATTACCTGTGGAAACTACCTAATCCCAAAGAATATTAATCATTATACCATATATTCTGTGATTTACATCCACAGATTTCATGCCAGGATTAAGCCCAGGCAAAAGAATATGAGTTTCATTTGGAAGAAGTGCAAGAAAAGTATCACAAAGTAGTTTAGTATACTCAAATACCTTAATAGCTTGGCCTCCCAAGACTGCTAACAAGAGTTTTTCTGTGACATTACATACTCCCAGATTAATTGAGACTGTAAGCACAAGATAACTATATTGATGTATTAACTTGCTTATTTTATTTGTGATCATTTTTCACCAAAATTCTGCCACAGGATCTAATTCCCATTTTTGCCAACATTATTCAACATGGTAAAAAAAAAAAAAAAACAAAACAGGCCCAGAAAAGTTAAAGTAAATCCATTTTCATTCCCATTTTGCTAAGACCCAGTCTAATCTCCTTTCTTGCACCAAAGCCTGAAGTAGGTAGTCTCTATCAAGCTACTAAAACATGGAATCTTCTCTCTGAAAAACTGCATACTTAAAAATTAGAGACATAAAGCAGACTAAGTATGGTGGTGACTGTGGACACATTTATGTAATAGAATTTAGATTATTTATTTCTCTATTTAGACAGCTATTTTCAAATTCTAGTGAAGCTACCAACTTTTCAGTTGCTCTTCAGTAAATTTATCTTTAATTATGGAGTTGACAAGTTTCACTATTAGTATGAATACAAAGCAGACTGTACAACATTTGCAGCTAAAAAAAACAACCAACCTTCAAATACCTTCTAAAGAATACAAACAGGAAGATAACAAATTTAATCCTTTCAGCATTTCTAACAACTAAACAAATTAATAAATATACTCTTAAAGCCCAACATCTTAACACAATTTTGGGCAAGATACACAATAAGCCTACCTGACTACCAAAGTTAAGGGACATATTCAACTGATTTTAGCCAAAGAAAGTGACAAATATTTTTTATACATCTTTACCATATGCATTCAGTACAATCCATCACTATCCAGAGGTCGTGCAACACTGCAGCACTTCCTAACTATAGAAAACTGCCACATATTTATTGCATCCTAAATAACACACTAAAAATTACTGGCCTAGGATAGGTCTGATAATTCCACCATTTACTGCTATCTTTACCTTGCTAAAAAACTTTTTTCCTCTTATTCAATTATAAAAGAGCTAGAGAAAGAAACCGAAGTATCATTTTCTAACAGTGGCAAGCTAAGAGTATTACAAAAACATTAAAACCATTATCTTTTAGATATTATTCTTTCTGTGACTAATTTCTGTCTAATGAAAAAACAGATTAACCAAAGTAGTGAAATATATTTGCCTCAAATTTTTCAAGACACAATTTCTCCCAACTTAGTGAGAGACATTTAGAACCTTTTCAGAATGAAGTCTTGAAGATTTCGTCAATACAGCTTTTATGCACTTATTCAAAATCTACTCCTTCAAAAAGGTAATCTTCAGATTTAAAAGTAGTTTCCTTAAAGGTGGAAAAACATTAAGGAACTGAAAGTATTACTTAACAAAGAGTTGGGTTTCCTTATTTTGGATCTCGCCTCTCCTTCCTCACTATGTGTTTTTCATATAGGTTAGGCATGGATGGATTGAAAGCAGAAAGGGGCAAGAAAAGCAAAATCAGGACTGTCGCCTTTCAACTTCAAAATGTCTTATGTCCTCCAAGTCCATGGCAGCCAGATAGCTCCACTCTCCTCATCCACATTGCTCTGACTAGCCATACAGACATGAAATTCTTAAATCTTAATTATATTATGTGAAAAAAACATTAATTTCTTCTACATTTCCCTCAATACTAAGAGAAACAAAAGTCAAAATTAAACACTGTTTATGTATTTGTTAAACTGCACAGTAAGACAGTCAGAACATTCCATTCTCTTGAAAAAATTGTGATGTTTACATTTTCTGCAATATTTTTAATTAAACATTGAAAATTGATAGAACTATTGACCTGTTATGATTTAACTAATAGATGCTATACATCCCAAAATAAACCAGATGTCCATTCATGATACTAACTGTAATTTTTTTAGTAATGCTCAAGTGTTTGCTTGTCTTGCTAACAAGCTATTGGCATAGTCTAAACATACGTATTTTAAACTATTTTCCATTATTTATGAGAAGTAGTTACTCAATTAAACAAATAATACACATTTGATTCTCAAATTTTGTCTGCTAGTAAAAATTGATTACAGATGCATAAATTTATTGAAGTAGTATAGAAGTAGAACATACTCATGCTAAAAAAACTTCCAACCAGTTCTATGCCACCTGTATTAAAAAACCTCAAAACCCTAAACAATTTTCATGCATGAAAAAAAAGTGCATTCTCTACTAACAATATGCCAATTTGAATTTAGACCTTAATCTTGCACCCAAACTTACATGCAGAAACAAAAATCTACACTGCTCCTCTCAGTTCAATATTTAGTCAGTCTGACTGGGGAAATCATCTTCTTTTAATGCTAAGATAACTGCCCAGTAAATCAAATAGCTAGAGAAGTAACTAGTATAGTAGTGAAGTAAAACCAAGATGCCTTGACAAGCAGCAGAACTGAATGGAAAAAGAATCAAAACAGTCTTTAGACCTGGACATGAACTGATCATCCCCATGTTTGTAAGAGTGCAGAAAGAGGAAATGTTTGTGTACAATAATTTGTTACGTGTTACACCTTAGAGACTCTGAAGATGTCTTCATATGCAACATACTCTGTATTTTGTTCTACATTTAGATTTTCTGGTCTGTGCATGTGAAAATATCAAAGCGTAAGAAATATAAAATGCAAGATAAGGAATATATATAGGCAACAGAATAAATAGCTGAGTATAAATAATTGAAGTTGCCATGCAAATAGTAAAATAATAGTTACATGGACCACTTCAGAAATTTTACAGCTCAAAAACATACACCAGTTAAAAAGCGTTCTATTTCTGCAAGGAAATTAAAAGTGATCTCCTCATTATTTGGGATTATCAGATTTTAAGGTAATAAAGCATTTAACATCCAAAGTAAAACAGTTCATAGGTCACTAACTTTCAGAACATATGTATGTACTGTGAGAAAAAAAAACAAGAGTATTACAATTACTTACCTCACCAGGATGCAATCTATCCCAGTTTTCATTAATATAGGCCATGAGTTCAAGCTCTGAATCAAAGTATTTCTTCTTATGAATAACACTTAGGTTGTAAAGGCATAGATGTGCTATATCTACCCTAGATTTCAGGAATATTTGAGTTAAAAAAAAAAACAAAAACAGAGAAAAAGTATTTTTCTTCCAATTTCTCTTCTTTGAAATAATTTAGTAGAAAAAGTATTAGCATGATATAGTTACAGGAACACAAAGCACAACTTAAAACACTCAATCCAGGGAACAACATTATGACGTCTCCTGTCATTTCTCTTCCTCAAGCGATTCCTTCTGCTTTCAATTTTGCTTTCATCTCTGCCTCATCTCATTGTCACGATGCTTTTTTAAACTCCAAAACTGGTCTAAACCTTGGTATATTTAAGTTAGTCCAAATTCATACCTGAATATACCAATTCTGAAGTCATGTAAGTATTTTGGTGAATTAACATTTAACAAGCTAATTTCCACCATATATTTGTGAGCATATATATCCAACTAAATGGGATATAATTTCTAATATGGGATAGTTCAAAGATTTCAAATTACAACTAACCATTAAGTCTCATTAAGGAAACTACTATAAAATGTGTCAAGATGTTTAATCAAGTGCTCACTATATTTGGCTTATCTAATGGCAGGATCCTAAACCTTCAAAAAAGACTCGTTCAGGTATCTCTATCTTCACACATACAAGTACGTGCTTGCTACTTTACTGAACGATCCCAGGAATAAATCCCATGAACACACTATTGGAATATATCTCTACATTTTACAGAAAAAGTTGTCTGTGTTCATACAAGCAGTAAGAACAACTCAGGAAACAACTCAAGACAGCAAGTAGATTTGCTTTTTTGCAAGGATAATCAAAACACTACAGAGAAAAGCAGAGAAAGTATTCAACTCACACACACACACACCCCCTTTTTTTTTCCTCTCTCATTTCATACGTACCATCTCAAGGGTAAACGTTTGAGGTATTCTGGTCCAGAACTGCACACTGAGCAAATGAACGTATAAAACCTAAAAATACATACATATGTATATGTACATGTGCCTGGGTGGTGGGTGTCCGTACACACACACACACACACACTCTCTTAATATTTTAACACCCTAGTTATGAAAACATTAAAGTTAAGCCAGCTAGAAACCCAGCCATATGGTATTTGAGTCCTTCATTCTCCATCTTTTTGTCAACTTCCACAATCTGTGCTCATAGTTTACTGGGACAGATACCAGGTACTTCCTCAATTGTACCCTAGTACCACTGTTTCATACTCCCTGAGCAAGTCCCTCAGCCTGTAACTATCTCAGTGAGGATGTTCTGCAATGTCCCCAACTCCATTCTCTCAAATGCAGAAAACTGTGAACCAGTGTAAGCATGCATTTAAAGGACCCATGCATTTCTGGGTCCTTCAATTCCTTCTTACAAACATTCCAGCACGGTCAACAGCTAAAAGAAAGTACAATAGATAATGAAACACTCCTTGATTCCCTTCTCCAGTTCTCTCATCTGCTCCAAGTTACTCTTAAAATGGAAGCACAGACAAGGGCTCTTTTTCATTTCTTTTTGTCCTGATTCATCACACATGATCCGAGGATGTAGATTTCCCCTCAGTCTAACTACTCTTCCAGATTTCTCCAGTTTCTTATACTGTTAGTACAGGGAACTACTACTGCACACACACACACTAACAGCCTACCTTGAAGCACAGTGCCTGGTGCATACAAGAGATTAAGTCACATACAAGTGACAAAGAGTGAACTTTAAAACCTTATCTAATTTACAGGCCCACTAAAGTGGTCTGCTTTAAAGCTTCCAGTCTCTCAGTAGCCAGCAGCTATAGTATTATGGACTTTTGCACAAAGTGAAGTCAGTAACAGTTCGAATTCAACTATCCATTGGTTACCTCCCCATCACCCGCCACCCCACCCTCCTTCATTAACTGAGATGAAGGACCATATTTTCCTGGCACCCAAACGTGGGCTTTATTTCACATAATCTACACAAAAACCTCACACCGTTTTTTGGAAAACACCGTTATATTATGGATGCCTTAATAAAAGCTCACATGACATTCCCTCCACATTTTAAAGACAATGATAAAGTACAGTTTAAATTTCTTACCTGTCACCAAAAAGCATTGGCTTTTGGAGGCACTGCACGCACGCCTCATGAAACCACTGCTTACATTTGCAGCACTGCAACATCTTTAGATACCAGCTTCACCAACAGAAAGAAAAACAAGATGTGTTAAAAAAGTTACTGAGTTGTTTTTCATTGTTTAAATTAAGTGGCAAGGGATCTTCTGACCCAAGCTGATTCTGAGTTTATAAAACAGTCATCTGTAGAGACAAAACAAGATGTGTTAAAAAAGTTACTGAGTTGTTTTTCATTGTTTAAATTAAGTAGCAAGGGATCTTCTGACCCAAGCTGATTCTGAGTTTATAAAACAGTCATCTGTAGAGACATTTCAGTAACATATAGTTCCATAAGGAATCATTAGTAGACAAGAAGTGACACAGAATAATGGAAGACAGTATCGTAAAAGCATGAATTAAGTTAATAAAGAAAATAAAAATTTAGTTTCCTCTGACAACCACCTTTTAATTCTCAATTACAATTCAGTAACTCCACATAAGCTCCTTCTTACATACCAGATTACCTTCCTTGTTTTTTTTTCCAAAGCACAACACAGCCACATTAAGTCCCAAACACTTGTTCTGAGCATTCAGCTACCTGAATCCTCAAAATTAAACTCATAGTTTACACTTTTTTCCTTTTCCAGGTTCTCCCTTGAGAAAGGAACTATGCAAAACTGAAGGCGATGTTTGTCCAAGTCTGCAAAATTCTCAAACCAGATCTCTGTCCTGTGAGTATAATCTCAAAAGCTTCACTTCTTTGTGGGACTCTTGACTTGCCTTGACTTCAAGTCTTCAGTGCTATTTTATTCATCCACTGCAGACAGAGTATTTATCTCTACCTGCTTAAGAAGACCTCTTCTTGCCTTTCCTGTAATAAAGGACCAGCAGAGGACTCTCTAATGCTGTAAAAGTCTTCCCCCTGTTAATAATTGCCATCCAGGGTATGATGTTATGATAGAATCAGACAGCTGTCTATTCCAACAAAATTTAATAAGATATTCTCTAGATACATTTATATTTGTAATTTATGACAGAGTTGAGTTAACATCAGGAAAACAATGCCTGGAATTGAAAGATATCAACAAAACAACTCCAATCTCAACATGTAACAGTAGCGATGTAAATAAATATATTCCTGCTTGTTGTAGAATGGACTGCAATGTTATGTGAGTCACATAACAAAATTATAACAAACCAAAAGATCTGATGGGAGAAGGAAAGCCATTAATCAAGTATTTCCCATGAGACATTTAAAAAACATATATATAAAATTCAAAATTCCACTTTGCATTAATACTTACTCACAACAGAAACATAAAACTAAGAGATTCAGAAGTAAACATCAATAGGATCAAGGCCAAAGTTCACACCTACATTACAGAGAAAGGTTCTTACATATCATCTGTTTACTTACTCTCCAGGTCCTCCACAATAGCAGTAACACTGCTGGACATTGGTTTTATGACCTGCATCCCACTCAAGGTCTGTTGCATTATATGGTAATGTTTGTTTCATGACTTGCAGTGCTTTGGCATTTGGTCCTTTCTTAAGCGCACCACCCCGCTGAGCCAAAACAAATATATTAGTTAACAAAAACAATAATTATTTCTCAAACTTTTAAATCATTTGAAAGTTACAAAAATTTGTCTATAATCAAGTAAAATATTTTCACCTGTATTTGTGTTTTAATAGCATATTTGTTTAAAAATAAATTGAAAGCCAAATGCCATCTATTTCTAAAATTCCTAACATATAAAACTTATGTTCAGATCAAAATTAACAAAAAATCTACTGGAAAAAAGTTGTGGGGTTTTTTTTTTTTCAACTTCAACAACAAATTATGCATGCAATATGGGATGTATTAAGAAACATCTTTCTAGAAACACACCTTTGTTGTTGTTGCAAAAACACACTGTCGACAGAGCCATTTATCATCGGAATCAATCACACTAGAATCAATATTTGGTGTGTGACACAGCTGATGATAACCTGTATGAAACATGATCAACGTGTTATTAAAATGGCAAAAGAAGATTCCACAGAATTATCTATACTAAAATTTAAGGCAACTATAAATAATTATCCACCATTAAGTGTCAAAAATTTGATCAAAAAGATTGGCACCACATTCAAAATGATCTTTTAAATTTTCTTAGTATAAAAAATAAATTCTACTTACAGAACAGGCGTTAGTCACTTTAACATGGATTATCATTATTCACTGAGATTTTAATAGTCACTAAAGTCTATAAAATTTAAGATCATAGCCAGGCAAATATCGTCCTTCATAAAACAAAACAAAGCATCTTTTACAAAGCAGTAAACAGAAAAAAAGTTAGTGTTGTTACCTTGCCCACATTTATCACATATAACCATTTCATTCGGTGCTTCTGAATACTCTTCCTGACACATTGTACAGACCATTTCCCCACTTTCAGTGGCTCCTAGACAAAGATGAAAGTGTGATATATTTCTCTTCAGATTACATCTGCGGCTGGAATGGTTATGACAAAAAAGCATATGGCTTTTTTGATCATTTCAGTTACAGATCCATGTATTGTAGAAACATGTTGTTACAGAGCCTAACTACCCAACAAAAACAAATTCAGACATTTTGTCCAGACTCTATGGGTTACAAATATTTGTATCACTTATCATAGAGTATCAGCTCTTTATAGGCTATATATTACCTATTTACTATGCAGTCCATGGTTCCCTAATATCAGCAAGGAAAATTAAGTAACTAAAGAAAGTAAATGCAGGCTAAAAAAAATATATAGAAACAAATCCTATCTGGACTACTGATGGATATGTTCTGTATTTACAGTAGTATGTACTTCTTTTTATGCAAATATACGCACAATTTGGTAAATATCTTTGACAGATCTGCTCAAGGTGCTTTAATATTAAACTCCAACACTCGTAGGAAATATGCTGTTACTTCTTATAGATATCAGAAAGCATACAAAGCACACCATAACAGTACAGGTAAGGAAAAAAAATTAGCTTGCAGATTGGAAACAAAACTACATCTTCTCCAGTTATACCACATTATCAATGTAAAAAACTGGATTAAAGCTCAAATTTCTTAATCTATATGTTATACACTAGTTTGTTACAATAAATTAATCAAAGATCATGACGCTAGTACTGTATAGAAGCAGAACAGTATTTTAAAAGTTTCTCAGAAATAAAGCAGCTGATTTTATGAATACAAAACTCCTCTTAGATAAAGTGTTTAATTTAAACATCAAGAATCAGCAAGAGATCAGATTTCCATTGCCTTCATATGATGAGGAAATAACTGATTTTCAGAAGAAATCGTCATCTATGCTTCATTAGCATTAGATTATTAAAATATTATCTACTCCCCAAGTATCTGAAACAAATCAAAGCTAATATACAATAGATGTCTCATTTGATAATTGCACATTGGCTTACATCACATGAATGCACCAAAATCTGTAATGGTTTATTATGTGCAACAGTTACGGTGTTAAATGTGAAAACCCCATTCAAACCTAGGTTCTTCCAGTCTTTGTTTTCAGTTGAAACAACATGGAAGGAAACCAACAGGAGGACATAAACTCAGTGTAAATTAGGGCCTGGAGTTTTCTGTTAAGACAAAGTATTATACTCTATCCTCAAATGTGATTACTTTTACATGTGTTGTCCCCTCCCTGCACACAGTTATTTGAAAATTTTAAAAAAAAAAAGTAACTGTATAGTTTGTTTTAATTTATTTTTTTTTTTAAGTTTGCCTAATTTATGATCTGGGTCACATTAAACTATATTGTTCTTTATTACATTATATTCTTGTATTCTAATTTATTTCAACATATCTAGTAACCTAAACAAATAAAATACCAAACAATTACTACTTCACTGAAGTTCTTGCCTGTTTGTATGTCCTTCCAGAGAACCCAGGATTTAGAACTGTCTTCAAATATAATGAAGCAGTTCTGCTTCAGTTTGTTTATCTGAAAAATAAAAAACACAGTGGAATCTATGAGTATAAGGACTAAACAGAAGAATGTATTTGAGACAGTAATACTATAATATTTAACCAATATAAGACTCCAGTGAAGTTAAAAAAATTGTTTACCTTTTTGATAGTTCCAAGATAAAACAAGCCATCTGACCATCTAGCTAGGACATCCTGACCTTCTTCAAATTTACACAGTGGCTTTTTGGCTTTCTGTCCATCACGTAACGACAGCTTGGTCAGAGATGCTGAGGTCTTATGGCTTCGACGTAAAGGAGACCGCTTATGGACCAGTGAATTACCCACCGCTGTAGAGTCTCTGAAGAAAAGGAAGCAAGAGAAAAGATAATCAGATTTAGGTTGAAGAAACCATATATTTTAAATATTAAGATGATTCACAGCAATAACTCACTTAGCTAACTTCAACTAACTAAAAATCTAGTTATGATTTTAGAGTTCAAGCACCTCTAGTTGCTGTGCCTCTGCTACTGTAAGTTTACAAAATTTGAAAGAGACAAGCTTATATAAAGAAAAATCTTCTATGATTTGAACTAATGTAAGTCAAGATGAGGAGACAAACTTTCCAGCTCAGAGACTCGTCAAAGTCACAAGAAGCATCAAAAACATTTAATACAGGATTACTTCTGCAAAACATTAGTTACTAGTCACTGACAGTTTTCTAAAATTCCAAGGAAGCTAAAAAAGGTGCCAAGCCAATTCTAACTATGTTACCTTGGTTGGAAGACGTAGTCGACAACTAACATGGTACCCAGCAGTTAGTTACTCAGAATGAATTAAAAAAAATAATGATCACCACACCACATAGCAGGAGGCAGGGGTGTGGTTGGAAAGGAAGAAACCAGGTTGAGCACTACGGTAAATCAACATCTATGTTAACTCGGGTACCTCCAACAGAGCATCATGATTTGCAACTAAGCACAGCTGTACAGGTTTCCAGTACAGGAAATATTTCTACATGTTAAGTTTCTAATGCAAAATAGGTTTTCCTCTTTGTCAGAATCCAACAGGAAAAGAAAAAGGAAAAGTAAAATATCTTGCAACCTTTCTTTACATATGGAACTCAAAACTATAAATTGCTTGAATCTATAATCCTTCTGTCCTCATGCAATTCAACAATACATAGCCTATTTATATATAAATACATCTAAGTATGAATATGCTTTTATGTCAGACTAGCTATCAAACACTACACTTGAAGTAAAGGTACAGAAGATATAAAAATATAAAATAGGAGCAGATACCACACAAAGACTCTTCCTAAGTAATAGGCAGAATTTGATACTATAAAACAAAGTTACCATTCATATATCCAAACATATTTTCTCTTTAGAAATTAAAAGTATGTATAACAATGATGCAAACACAAGGACGGATCAGAGAGTTAAATAGGAGAGAGGCAATTAAGAGCAAAGTTTCACCTCACTCAAGATATCTTAGGTATATTATCAGCACCAGAAGCTTTTGAATTAATCAAAAACCAACACCACCAATAAATGAATCAGTGCCCTATATAGTTTGATGAGAATTACTATTCAAATATTAGAGAAGTTACTCTAAAGTTTCAAAGAGAAGGGAATCCCTCCCCCCTAAAAATTTTACTATTAACATTTAATACAAAAATAGAACTGGAATTCTAATGGCTTAAAACATCAAAAATAACAAAAATATCCAAAAAAAATGCAGAAGTTAATATTCTAGAGAGCAATCAACAAATTTATTGTACTAAACAGTTTAAACCTAGAAGCTTAGACACAAGAAAGTTAAACTGATTATAATAAATATGCTTAAAACAGTTGTCTAAGTCTAAACAATGCCATGACAGTAAAAGCAGCCATAAAGGGCCAGACAAATGTTCCACTTAACCCAGTAATTCCGGCACCCTCATGCACAACTAGATCACCAGTTGAAGTCCTGCCTGATTCCAAATACAAAAATACTGAGACAGGTGACTAGGTAAGACTAGAGAAACAGAACAAACTTTAACAGTACTCCTCTCCCAAATATTCTCTAGGTCTTTTATAAGCTGAGGATCCAAAGACCTCAAGCAGGAAAGCCTTTCTTTTTTTTAGTCCCTATGTAGTCCCTACATGTCTTCTTCTACCTGTAAAGCAGAACTTCTTTTGATTTTTCACAGCTGGCACTTCATTTGACACCCTTCATCATTACATCACAACACTAAACTGTCTTTTTCTCCCTTCTCCCTTCAAACCCCAGTAATGATGTTTAGACCCACCCAGCCATACTTCCCAGATAAAGTGTCCTACCAATTTTGCTGCTTCTCAGATGAAAGCTGTTTAAAATTACCGCTGCTTTTCCCCCGTTCTACTCTAACCTCTGATAAATGGGATGGGGTGCATGCAGCATTCAAAATCTGTTTGCAGTAACAGGGTAACAGCATGGCAGACCAGGCCATTTTTTATTCCTTGCTCCTTTCAAACTAGTAACATCTGTAGTCTTCCCTCCCCTCTGCTGCAATGAGACAGTGAGTTCAAAAAAATTTTCAAGTAGTATTAGAAACTGCACGTTCTCATTCTAACTGCTGTTTCTCTTCCCACTGCATATCACGGTTTGCACCAGACTTCATTATCCACTCAGTAGCATGTAGCCCTTCTACACTTTCTACACTATCCTGCATATCCTCACAAGCTTAGAGCACTTAATTATTTAAACCTACCATCTTTTGTACATCACTGTACATTTTGCCTCTTATCTTGTACAGCAGCTTCATTTTTTACAAGAGCCTCTGAAGCAGGGCCCCAGCCCTTAACACTTGTTGCAACCACATTCTACTCTCCCTTGACATCTGTACAACCATTTACATACCCAAGTACCAAACAGGCTCAGAAACAAACGAGTCTGAAGTCAGCCAGCCAAGAGAGGAAAAAATGGTTTCACCTTCACTAGTTCCCCAAACCTTTCTGAGTATACACATACTCACCTTAGACAAAGCAAGCAATGTTCAAAGGCTAGGCAAGGCTTGATCAAAACAGACTAGAAATACTTCCAAAACTATAACCTGGTTTCAGCTAATAATCCTTTTCCTGGAAAAGGCTCAGCATTACAAAGTATTCAGATACTTCAAATTGCATCTATGAACTTTATTTAGCATATTAAAGGGGTCAGTAAGTTGCCTGTGTAGTTCAAAGCACCTAAAGCAAATTCACTAGTGCACCTTGAAACTGTCTTACAAGTGTTTTGACAGGACTACTCTCTTCCAGAGGTTCAAAGATTTTCTTTCAAGATTTTTATCTTGTTTAAGAGACTAGAGAAAGCAGCTAAAGGTCAGGAATGTTGGCTCTTCTTTACCAGTATTTGAAAAAAGGTGTGAACAATCTCGTACAGAATAAGCAAAAAGACACAATTCATTTATTATACATAATCTAGTACACATCCATTTGACAAGCAGCAACTATTTTTGAGTTTTATGCTAAAAAAAAGTCTTCAAAAACATATGACATCCTTTAAGTACAGAAGTTTGCCCCATAACTCCATTCAAATTATAACAAAAATGTGTTGTGCATCATTTTCTGGCACAAAGCCCTTAAATGAGTCTATACATTGACATACAACAGCCTAAATTCACAATAGCTACTTCAGACACTGACACACAGTAAAGTTCTGAGCCAATAAAGCAGACACTTCTTCACTGTCCACATTGCCCTCTTTGTGGGAGATAGCACTGCTGAAGCGATGACTAAACAGCTCATGAAGTAGCTCCTGCTGTGGCAGTTTATGGTTTATCTAATGCATAGACTGAAAATAGAGTTAGTTATCACAACAGGCTGACACTAGCTTAACAGTTGCTTTCCACATGGATAAGAAGTTCCTCTTCAGGGAAACATTCCCTCAATGTTTTTGATGGGAGATTAAGTGGGAAGAGCTACTGTTTTAACAAGTTGACTTTAATTAGCAAACCATCAGTTACTTCAAGTAGGTGTCTCTGAAGTGCCTTCTGGAAACTGCACAAGAAACTCAGTGCAGACCAGCATAAAAACAACTTTCTCATCTGTCTTGCCACAGCTTTCCATTGTAGTGGAGTACCAAAAAGCCACACCTACCATTAAAATAAAATTTCTGTTGGAAGTTAAGTAAATGCAAACCACGGTTAACTTCTTGCCAATTTTGAAATTAGTTTAACCATTCCATAGTTTCCAGAAACTTGCTTTCCAGTCTTCCCTGAAGTTAGCTCCATAGCACCTCCCTACCATGCCATTTACAGTTACCGACAAAATTAGTAAACTTTAAATAACTATTTCCTCACTGCCATAAAAACTTCTCTACAAGAACTTCTCATTGCAAAATACCTAACATGTCTTGTTTTTCAGAAACACTTATCCAGTATAAGAATCTATCTTATTTTAACTTGCACAACTAAACTATACTGCATGTCATACAGCACATGTAACGTACCTTGGCTTCACATCCTTTACTCAATACAGAATATGTTGTGGCTGTATTCTTACTCAGGCACTTAAAATGCAAATAAAGTACTTATGCACACATACAATCTTTCAGAAGTTAGTGAGGCAAGTCAGTAAAATGAGTTCATGTGTTGAAATACTCTTCAAAATAGAAGTGCACTTCCACCACTTCTTGAGAAGTTTATCTCCTAAAATGCTCATTAATTTTTCACCTTGGGGCCCAGATAACCATAGGTATTCTCAAGCAAGACAGGCAGAAGACCTTCTATTCATCTATTTAATGAATTAGTTTATAATATGCTGCAACAGCAGGAGATAGCTGTCATCCTTTGTCAACAGGAACAGCAAACTCTCTGAAGCTACCTAAATCGGTCTCATTTGTGAACCATGACAGCTTACTACACATAGCATTGTCTTAGTTAAAATCAGGTTTCTGTTAGTTTTTACTTGTTTTTAATTATTTCCAAGCTCTATTAGAGCATAGAAAATTTTCATGTTTATTTGGTGCCTCTGACTCCTCTGTCTCCACAGCAATCCTACAAAAGGAAGAAGCAGAAGAGTTATGAAAAAACAGAGTTTGGAAGGCCAAATCCTAATCCAGAAGGGGCTGGAGGATTAAAAAGACTGAGCGCTCTCCCTCTTGTTTCCAAGAGCAGCACTACCAGGTTAAGGTCATTCATACTCCTGTACTCCTTCAGTTGTAACAGCTGCTGTGAAACAACTCCTGTTAAGAAAAACTCCCTTGACAGAGTTATTTTTTCAGCCATATCAGTTCACTGATTTGTTTCACAGAATGGTTTGTCAGCACAACAGAACCAATGCAAACAAGCAACATGGGACACAAACTCCCTGAACTGGCCCTGCCAGACTGCA